GGGGGAATGGATGAGGGTGCTGACAACACAGTGGACCGTGACAGGGATGGCAGAGTATGGAGCCTCTAGTGGGAGAGGAAGGCTGTCTATCTGACGAGTTTGTATTCATGCTCAGATGCCGAGGAGCTCAGAAGGTGGGCGACTGTGACCAGTGATAGTCATGTATATAGAGATTAGAAATGCATGTGAAAACGTCTCAATGTCAATTGCTTTGGAATGAATTCTTCTGTATGAAAAAAAAATAAAAAAATAATGATTAAAAAACAATAAAAAAAAAATTTCAGCTTTACAAAGCCATGGAGATCATTGGTGAGACTCTTGAGGTCTTTGAAGCTATGCCCCAATTATTTGAAGTCAATGAACTGAGTTGTAAAGAAATATGGATAGTGTTCTCATGAAGATCCAACAATGTGGGTTTAAAATTCACATTTTTAATAGAAAAAGTTTTAAAGTATCCTACTTATTATTATTTTTAGGGGTCTTTTTGAGATAGGGTCTCCCTGTAGTTCCAGCTGGCCTGGAACTCTATGTAGAGCAGGCTGGCCTTGAACTCACGGAAATCTACCTGCCACTGCCTCCCAAGTGCTGGGATTAAAGGAATGTATTACCACACCCAGAAAAATGTCCTGTATTTTTAAGGCTGCACGATAGCTTCATTGACAAGCAACTCATGGGGTGGATTTCAACCTTGCTCTCAAAATAACAATTTTTATTTTTAAAAACCTAGGTAAAAGCATCAATTATTTGCTTTGCTTTATGAAAAATTAAATGCAGACATCAAAGTTCTTCTATTCTATGTGAGGTTTACTGACTGTCAAATGGAAATTGCCTTAGAGTATCTTGAGGCCTTATTTAGAAATCCCAGAGGAAAGACACACTGTCCACTTAAGAAGCGATTCATCTTCTTGTACAGTTTGACATATTTATTTATGAGATTTATTTTAAAATTTTAATACATTAAAACTGAAATTTGAGGTAGGCAAACCAAATTCTTCCTTACTGTTCTATATTTGTGGCATGTACAGCGTTGTTTCTTCCAAAGCTTTTGCAGTTGTTATCGTGAAAACAAATGTTAAAGTTAAAAAATAGGTTAAAGTCAATACTAACAAAAGTAAATAAAGGGCTTGCAGGTGGGTGTGAGAGAGCCAACCTGACCAAATAGGAGAGACAGGACTCTCCCGGCAAACAACAAAGCCAGTCCCAGTTGGCCCTGGCTGGCTCCCTTGAATAACTCTCCATGCCTCCCTCCCACACTACCGCCACCACCCCCTTTGCCTCCTCAAGAAACTTACTCAGTGCACTGTTGCCCTGTCCTATATTCTTATACCTAACTGCAACAGACCAAGCTGTAGGTTAGGATGGCTTCTAAAAAGCTCTACCTCTTCCAGGAAGGAGACTGCCCTTGCCTTCCCTGTAGACAAGGAGCTAACAATGAGGAGCTGGAACAAAACTATAGCTACATTTTAGTAGCTGTAAGAGTTAGTTTTTAGAGCAGCAAGATATGTTCATGTTAAACTACAAGCTGGTCACATAACCTGGCAACAAAGAGAGGCTAGTTTAATGAGAAGCTAGCAGGCATCTGCCAAGGTCAGCAACGGGCAACACCTGCCAAGGTCAGCATCGGGCAATGTCCACTAAGGTTGTCAGTGTCCAGCAGATACCACAAGGTCAGCAGTTAGCAAAGCATGTCAAGAATGGAGACAGAGGGGCTTCAACACGTGGCCACCCTAACTGGGCAAGCAGCACATGAACAGTGCCTGATCGTCTCCCCAGGTGGGCTGGGGCTGGAACTCACTATATAGACCAGGCTCGCCTTGATCTCACAGAGATCCACCTGCCTCTGCCTCCTGAGTGCTGGGATTGAAGGCATGCATCACAGTGCCTGGAGGTATGTGAGTGTTTTGCCTGCCTGTATGTAAGTGTACCCATGATATGCAGTGCCTGCAGAGGTCAGAAGAAGGTACCAGGTCCCTTGAAGCTGGGGTTGTAGAAGGTTGTTAGCCAGCATGTGAATGCAGGGAACCAAATCTAGGTCCTCTGCAAGAGCAGCCAGGGTTCTTAAGTGCTGAGCCATCTCTGTAGACACCTTACATTGTATTTCTGCCATTCTCACTGTGATGCGTTACGGAGAGTTTCTTCTCTAGTTGCATCCATTTGGTGTTCTACGTATCTCTTGTGTTTGGGTGTCTACTTCTTTTACTAGGGTTTTTTTGGAAGTTTTCTGCAATAATTTTATGAATAGTCTAGTCTACTTGCTTTTTTATTAACATTTTTTATTTATTTTTATTTTATGTGTATGAGTGTTCTGCTTGCATGTAAGTGCACCTGTGTCATGCAATGCCAGCAGAGGACAGAAGAGGGCTTCGGATACCCTGGAACTGGAGTTATGGATGGTTGTTAGCCACCATGTGGGTGCTGGGATTCGAATCCAGGTCTTCTGCAAGAGCAGTCAATGCTCTTAACCGCTGAGCCATCTCTTCAGTCCCCTGTATTTGTTTTTATCTCTGCTCCTTCTATACCACGAACCCTCAAGTTTGGTCTCTTGTATGCATACCAGACTTCTTGAAAATTTCATTCATGCTCCTTAAGTTTCCCCTTATACATGCCCGTTTGTATTATTGTCTAGACTTGTCCTCTGTCCCTGAAATCCAGCCTTCTGGATGGTCTTGTTTGCCAGTGATGGTATCTGTTGTGGTTTTTATTTGATTGACCATCGCCTTCACTTCAAGTATTTCTATTTGGTTCCTTTTCAATGTTTCAATCCCCTTGCTGATATTTTCCCTCCATATTTTGGACTTTCCCCTCCAATTTATTGACTTTTTCATTTACTTTGGAGAATGTCTTGTCAAGGTCTTAGATAGATTTCCTTAATTCGTGCATCTGTTCATTTGATTCTTCTATGTGATCATGAATTCTTTTTAAAAGCAAAGTCTTTCTCAGACATATCAACTATGTCTGCAGGTTTGGATTCCTTATGGGGGAGTTGGTCAGTTGGGTGTGTCGTGTAGTGCTAGTGGAGGTCAGAAGAGGGCTTTCGGTCCCCAGGAACTGGAGTTACAGATGGTTCTTAGTCATCATGTGGGTGCTGGGAACTGAACCTGGGTCCTCTGCAAGAGCATCCAGTGCTCTTAACTGCTGGGCCATCTCTCTAGCCCTGAGATTTTATTTTTTGATACAAGCAACTATGTGTATTTTCAGAAACAATGATCTTTTCTTTCAGTTTATATATTAAAAATCTCAGTGAGAATACTATATGTTTAGACTTGCAAAGTGGTTTTTATTTACTTATTTATTTATTTTTATTTACTATTATTTTTTATCCTTTTTTTTATTCTGTGAAAAGAAAAGTGTAGGAAGTTGAGTAAACTTCAGTGACATGAGTAAAAAGTAGGACTTTATATACCACACAGAACCTGGTTCAAATCTTGTTCCATCACTTCCTGATTGACCTTGGGAGAGTTAGCTAACCTCTTCATACCCCAATTTTGTGGAGGGAAGGCAACTAATAAGAGATCATAAAATGGAGCCAACCCAAGAATTTTCACAAGCATGATCCAGAAATCCCAAACTGTGAGAGAAAAGTGCTGCACTCTGACACCACAAAGCTGCAGTCAGGCACCTAGTGTCCTGACCCTTAGACCAGAACCTGACTTTGATCAACTAGCACTGCCCTTATTTGCATGAACCTGATTTTCCCAGCCTCTATTTGCATGGCAGAGATTACAGAACTGGAAATTACGTGCACAATGGCTCATGCTAACCTCCTAGCAAATCTGGAATATGCTCTTTCGCACAGTGCAAATTACATGCCAAGAAAGCCACTCAACCTGAAAGTACTTCTGTTGAACAGGGAATCCCTCCCATGACATTTCTCTGTGCCGTGGGCTCGATTCCAGCTGTTCTCCAGACTGCTTCCCACCTTCTAGTGTAGTCAAGAAATTGTTCTTCATTTAATGATTTCTTTTCCATCTTAGAATTTACTGTAAGGATAATTACAAAGATAAATGTATAGGAAAATGGCAAAACATGAATTGTGTAACTTCTCTCATAGTTTCTGTCTCTTTTCTTTTTCTGTTTATTTTTAAATGGGGTCTCCCTATAGCCCTAGCCCCAGTTGACTTTGAACTTGTTATGTAGACCAGTCTGGCCTCCATCTCACAGAAATCTACCTGCCTCTGCCTCCCTAGTGCTAGGATTAAAGGCATGTACCACCACACCCAGCCCACTAAGTTTCTGTCTCTTGTTTAGTATCACTCTCTTATAGTCCAGATGACAGGAAATGGAGGCTCAGGATAAAATGAAGGGCAGTCCTCAGCAGCCCCAGCTGTCAGTCAGGACCAGCCTTTCCCATCATGTTATCTTTCAACACAGAGTGCGCTCATCTCTTTGCTCTTCACTTGCTGTGGGATAATATCTGACTGACCGGTCCCATCTCCATAACTACTTCAAATCCTTCACATCTTTGGTTAGGATGAGTTGGCCTTCTCACCACTGTGAGTATCCTCAGAGCTCTGCCCTACTTTATGCTGTCCTCCTCATTTCTTCAACCTGTCATCTTCATATTGTCATGTCCATATTTGCGTATATGTATTTAGTTATAGAAACTCAAGTGTGCAAAAATACAGCTTTTTTGGAGGAGATGGTCTTGCCATGTAGCCCAGGCTGGCTTTGAACTCACAATCCTCCTGCTTCAGCCTCCTTGGTGTGGGTGACTGGTGTGGACCACTATACAGATATAATTTTATTTTTAATAAATTTTTCTTTTTGGTCCTTTTGAGCTCCCTGTAGCCTCAGCTGTCCTGGAACTCACTATGTAGACCAGGCTGGCCTTGAACTCACAGAGATCTTCCTGCCTCTGTCTCCTGAGTGCTGGGATTAAAGGCGTGCGCCACCACGCCCGACCCTTTTTTATAAAATAAAAAAAATTTTTTGAAGAAGCATTTCATTACAGCTTTAACATACTCAATAACAGTTTACAGAGCAAAGATACATCTCTTTCAAAAGTGGCTATAAAATTTTTAGGTTTGCTGTTGATTAATACAGTTATACAATATTGAACTCAGTATAAGCCCTGTAAGACATAAAATTGAATGAGATTTGAACCTTTCAAAAAGCTCTCCATTTCATTTAAAAATATACTGTTTCTTACAGAAAGACTCATTGGTTTTGCTGCTAACACTGAGGTGTTGGCTCACGCGTCTCTAATCTGTATGTATCTGATTATTAGTAGTCATAATCAGTTGCACTCGGATCCTTGGCACCTGTGTATTTCTATAAAGTCATCAGGTGGATTTCAATGGTAATGTTCATCACCTCTACTAATTAACATGACATAAATTTTTATGCTTCCTCCTCAAATATAATACATTTTTGTAATTTGTTGATTTGTGTGTGTGTGTATCACACAGAACATCCCAAACTATCTTATTCAACTACATACCCACTTCCCAGATGGCACCCTCCCCCCACTAGAGCCCTTATACTCTGTTATCCCTGCTACTGTCTGCTGTGCAGTCGGCACCCCCAGCCATTCCTCA